GCGTCATGGGCAACTCATACAGCCTCATGGCCGTCATGAGCAACTCATACAGCCGCATGAACGACTGTAAACACTTTTATTTAACGCACACAGGTAATGAAAAATGAATATTTTTATTAACCTCGTGGGTAACTTTAAAAACTTCTATGGACACAACAGCTACAGATGAATAAATAATTGGTACCAACTTTTTTTTCAACTAAAAGATTTTGCTATAATTGCTTGCGAACTTTAATTATCTTATGCTAAAACTTATCATTCAATAATAAAAAAACGTCTATGGAAAATCATGACATTGATGACTTGACCAATGCGAATAAATGAGTGGGCAATATGTGCACATAATACCTTTCGTTACCAGATAGCAATTAATAAAGTTCTGCTTGTAACGTCATCACAATGTTATTCCGATTAATGTAATGAATAAATTGAACATTTTATTTACTAAACAGTCAAAGCAACTTTATAGCTGATGTGGTGATGAGTTGTTATTGGAAATCTGCAATGCCATTCGTAATAAGATAAATAACTAATTAATGAGGTATCTATTTACAATCTCAAACTTCTACTCAAAGTATCAGTGGAACCAACCACATACATTTCTTCCAGATATCATAAATACAATACGGTATTTCACAAAGCAGGTTTGCGCTCATAGAACCAATTACGTTAGTAATTTATAAGTAAAGGCCTTCTGCAGAAGATAGATTCAACGCTATTCTTACTTAAATTCGTAAATTTGAGGCTATGCATCGATTAATCGGCCACCATGACAGCAGATGCAAATTTCTAAGTAAAAAATTAGATGTACTGCCAGTGCCGCTTTTGATAAAAATATCACTTTAGTGTTATTCGTACCAGTAAACATCACCTGTTATCTGGACAAAAAGTTCAGTGCTATTGCTACCTGTTGCTTGTCCGTAGCCTCCCGCACGATGTCCCATATAAGGTCAGCGGGGAGGCCCCTGCCAGTAGCGTCGCTCTCCCCCACGAGCCGCGTCAGTAGCGCCTCCCACGGGTTACCCGTCAGAGACTCGTACACCTGAGCCATAAATATTACCCGTCAGAGACCCGTAAACCTGAGCCATAAATATTACCCGTCAGAGACTCGTACACCTGAGCCATGAATATTACCCGTCAGAGACTCGTACACCTGAGCCATAAATATTACCCGTCAGGGACTCGTACACCTGAGCCATAAATATTACCCGTCAGAGACTCGAACATCTGAGCCATAAATATTACCCGTCAGAGACTCGTACACCTGAACCATAAATATTACCAGTCAGAGACTCGTACATCTGAGCCATAAATATCACCCGTCAGAGACTCGTACACATGAACCATAAATATTACCCATCAGAGACTCGTACACCTGAGCCATAAACTTCACTCGTCAGAGACTCGTACACTTGAGCCATAAATATTACCCGTCAGAGACTCGTACACCTGAACCATAAATATTACCCGTCAGAGACTCGTACACCTGAACCATAAATATTACCCATCAGAGACTCGTACATCTGAACCATAAATATTGCCTGCAGCCTCGTGCACCTGAGCCATAAATATTACCCGTCAGCCTCGTCGTACACCTGAACCATAAATATTACCTTCAGCCTCGTGCACCTGAACCATAAATATTACCTTCAGCCTCGTGTACCTGAACCATAAATATTATCTTCAGCCTCGTGTACCTGAACCATAAATATTACTTTCAGCCTCATGCACCTGAACCATAAATATTACCTTCAGCCTCGTGCACCTGAACCATAAATATAACTTTCAGCCTCATGCACCTGAACCATAAATATTACCTTCAGCCTCGTGCACCTGAACCATAAACATTACCTTCAGCTTCGTGCACCTGAACCATTAATATTACCTTCAGCCTCGTGCACCTGAGCCATAAATATTACCTTCAGCCTCGTACACCTGAACCATAAATATTACCTTCAGCCTCGTACACCTGAACCAGAAATATTACCTACAGCCTCGTGCACCTGAACCATAAATATTACCTTCAGCCTCGTACACCTGAACCGTAACTATTACCTTCAGCCTTGTGCACCTGAACCATAAATATTACCTTCAGCCTCGTACACATGAACCATAAATATTACCTTCAGCCTCATGCAGTGAACCATATTCAGCCTAGTGCACCTCAACCATAAATATTACCTTCAGCCTCATGCATACAAAGGATATATAAATAATTTAAAATTTAACCCTCGACACACTGCATAATTTAACGTTATAATCACACCGAGTTCATGTAGAGATGTACTACATATGCAGTGAGACATTAATTAAGCGTGAACAATACATGCTAAGTGTACGGACCGACTGTTTGAAGGGCGGCCAGAGTTGTAGCAGCTCGAGAAGTGCTCTTGTGTGCTCACGGCTGCTCGCCACGCTCGTGAGCGCCTCAAAGAGCGCCTCGCGCTCGCCTGATGTGCTAACTGAAGTCACGCTCATAACCACAGCGCTGGACAGCCCTTCTGCTCCTGCGCTCACATCAAGACAATAAATGTTATGATGGTAATAGTCTTCTGCTCCTGCGCTAACATCAAAAAATTTACCATCTAAAAACAAGACTTTATTTTCAACCGCCCGCTTAGTTTTCTCAGGAGCTAACCAAGCGTTTCAACCTCCCTCTTTTAAGAGTTCCCCAAGCGTTTCAACCTCCCTCTCAGTTTTTTTAAGAGTTCCCCAAGCGTTTCAACCGCCCTCTTGGTTTTCTTAGAGCTCCCCAAGCGTTTCAACTGCCCTCTTGGTTTTCCTAAGAGCTCCCCCAAGCGTTTCAACCACCCTCTTGGTTTTCTCATGAGCTATCCAAGCGTTTGAACCGCCCATTCAATTTCCTTAACAGCTCCCCAGGCGTTTGAAAAGACCTCTTAATTTTCTCAAGAACTGCCTAAGCGTTTGAAAAGACCTCTTGATTTTCCTAAGAGTTCCCCAAGCGTTTCAACCGCCCTCTTGTTTTTTTTAGAGCTCCCCAAGCGTTTCAACCGACCTCTTAATTTTCTCAAGAGCTCCCCAAGCGTTTCAAACGACCTCTTGACTTTTTTTTTTTAAACCTCTTGACTTAATTAAAGTTCCCCAAGCGTTTGCACCGACCTCTTGCTGCCGTATCGTCCTCCTGGTCGTAGGTGACCGGGAAGCTAGCAGCGCTCAACACTCGCCGCGTCTCAAGATAAAGCAACAAGCTCATGTCGTCGTCTGACGCCGGCAGGTTCTGAACACGATAACGGATTGCATCATGATATTTATTATTTTTATCATAAATATTATATAATTAAATTAAATAATTAATATATTAATATATATTTTATAAATATTTTATAATACACACTCCTTAATATTATTTTTGAATGATCACATTTTCCTTATACACTAAAATTATTTCTAAAGGACGAGTAAGTAATACTTTCTCGAGACGCATCTAAAGAAAAAAAGATCGATAGATGATGTAGGGTGCATTGATTGGTAAGTTTAAAAAGCTGAGGTGGTTAGCAGCGCAGATAGCGAGAGCACTAAATTTTTTTTTTCATAAAAACTGCATTAGTTTCATCCCTATATGAATATAAGGCATCATCTTTATAAAAACCGAATCTCTATCTCATCATTACCTATAGGCAGCAATGGTGAAAGTCAGGTATAGCCAAATATTCTCACACATTGACAAAATAACAAGTATGGCATAAGATAATGTATTTGCAGCACCTTATCGTAAATAAATGAACAATGAACATCTCTATCTACAGAATGATTTAATTTTTATTTATTAATTATCTTCCACAATAAATGTATTTTAGATTATAAACTTATTGAAATATTCACTAACCTTCACGAAAAGCTCATGTATTTGCAGCACCTCATTGCAAATACATGAGCAATGAGCATACATGTTCATTTACAGAACAAATTAATTTTTATTCATCAATCATCTTGCACAATAAATGTATTTTAGATCATCAACTTGTATAAATATTCCCTAACCTTCACAAACGCAGAGAACATAGAGACCCTGTGGTGCAGCGCGAGGGTAATCCCGGATAATTTGAACGAAAATAATTGATCCGAAAATAATTGATCCCGGATAACTAATAATAATTAATATTTTCGAGGATAATCCCATGATGTGATAATCCAAAATGTATTTTTGATTATCAACTTGTATAAATATTCCCTAACCTTCACAAATGCAGAAAACAAAGCGACCCTGTGGTGCAGGGCGAGGGTGTCACAGAGCGCTCATCAATTATCTTCCACAACAAATGTATTTTTGATTATAAACTTGTATATTCTTGTATATAAATATTCAGTAACCTTGACGAATGCAGAGAACATTGAGATCCTGTGGTGCAAGGCGAGGGTTTCACGGAGCGCTCATCAATTATCTTCCACAATAAATGTATTTTTTATTATAAACTCGTATAAATATTTAGTAACCTTGACGAACGCAGAGAACATTGAGACCCTGTGGTGCAGCGCGAGGGTAATCCCGGATAATTTGAACGAAACTAATTGATCCCGGAAAACAAATAATAATTAATATTTTCGAGGATAATCCCATGAAGTGATAATCCAAAATGTATTTTTGATTTTAAACTTGTATAAATATACCCTAACCTTCACGAATGCACAGAACATAGCGAGTCTGTATCTTTATCTACCAAAATAGATTAATTTTTATTCATCAATTATCTTCCACAATACACGTATTTTAGATCATCAAATTTTTATTCATCAATTATCTTCCACACTTAATATATTTTAGATTATAAACTTGTTGAAACGTTCATTAATTAACTGTGAATCGCCTGATCATGTCTGGATCATGATCCGATTACTCATGAAAAAATAAAATCTAACAAAGGGATGCTTATAAAATTTTCCTTCGGAGGCAACATAAACCTTAATAATAAGCAAGCATTACTATAGTACCTGCTAAACAATTCAGGAATCCTACCACCAGTAACCTTGACAAATGCAGAGAACATTGAGATCCTGTGGTGCAGGGCGAGGGTGTGACATAGCGCTCATCAATTATCTTCCTCAACAAATATCTTTTGTATTATGAACTTGTATAAATATTCCCTAACCTTGACAAATGCAGAGAACATAGCGACCCTGTGGTGCAGGGCGAGGGTGTCACAGAGGGCCGCCTCCCTGGCCGCCTGCAGCAGCAGCTCCTCCATGAGCAGGTCGTTGTCGTGCTGCAGCTCACAGCGCAGCACGCTGCACAAATGCTGCAACCGCTCCACCCACCACCCGTGCTGCTCTTCAGTGCTGCTGTGATGCAGCATCTCAGGGAGTGATGGATCAGGCTGTAAAATTATAGATCAGGTTGTAAAAAAAATGCACTATTGTGCTCGCCATGTCCGTCTGTCTGTCTGTCTGTCCGTGACTTCACGTTTTCGTCGTCGAGAAAATGCGCTTTCTGTCACTCACTGCAGTGAGTACTGAGTTATAAGTTTTTCCATAAATGAGAAAAGGCACCAAAATTTAAATAATTTCTACAAGCTAAAGAAATTAACAACACAGTGACCCACCTCCTCCGAGTGCTGCGTCAGTGCGTCAAGGGCGCGCTGCACGAGGCCGTGTAGGGCGTCCTCAGGCTGAGGGGCGGCGCCCTCGGGCATCACCTCGACCAGCGCCCTCAGCACCTGCAGGTCGCAGCCCCCCAGCAGCGCTGCGTTGCATACGGCCGTCGCCGCCGCAGGAGTGCCTTCACTAGTGGCGTACTGGGAAACGTAATAAAATAATAGGATTCAAATAATATTATGATGAGACTCGTATGGCAAGCTAGAACAACTCGTTCGTGTACAAGAAACATACAAATTAAATGATCATCATGGGGCTAAAGCTCTAAATTTACAGTATGTGTCGGAGGAGTTGTTGAATTAAAAGCAGTTTTCCCTTTTATCGTAAGCGTCACTCGAAATGATTGCACACAACAAGAAGATTAAGATAACGATGTGATAAAGTTGCAAAACCAGCTGCTGGGACGGCTATATGTGGGAGGAAAGTTCAGTGCTGCCACCATTTTTGGGAAGAAAATTTCAAGAAGGCCGCAACACTCACAAATTTTACGAAGAAGATTTCAAGGAAGTCGTAGCACGAACAAATTTTACAAAGAAAATTTCAAGGAAGCCGCATAATAAATTAATTTTGCGAATAAAATTTCAAGGAGTCTGTAGCACTACCTATTTTTGGGAATAAATTTGAAGGAGCAGGAGCAGAACACCCACCATTTTAGCGTAGTGTCGCAGGGCGAGGTCAGGTCCTGAGATGAGGGCTGTGAAGGCAGGACTCTGTAATCTCGTGAGGTGTGCGACCCAAGCCTCGAGTTCCGACACAGCGTTATTCCACTCCTGCTCAAGCGTGACTTTTTGTGAACGAAATTAGGAAGGAACCTGGTATTTTGAAAAAGAGATTTGAGGCAAGTGCGTAGGAATGATGCAGACTAAGTCCCCTTTCACACAGAGCAGTAAATACCGCCAGCGTCCGACGGTATTTACCGCCGAACCTTAGCGGACATACGAAATTGTGAACTGCTATTCACACACGACTACTTTTAACGCGGCGTAGAATTAGACGCCTGACGCCCGCGTTTGTCCTGCTAAGACTGCGGCGGTAGATTTGCCGCAACAGTTTAGCTTGTTATGGTATTCAATGTAATCTTTCACACTAGGCGATTTTTTACGCCATATCCTAGTGTGGTACAGACAGTGGGGCCGTATTTTGGGTGCATAATAAAGAGCAATGCAAGACTGATAGATTATAGACTGATATTGTTACATAAATATCGGGATATTTCAAAAAGAAATATTGTTACATAAACATAGAGATGAACTGATGGTGCATAAAACAGCACTGCTAGACTGATAGATTCCAGCGTTAAAAATCGCCTCGTGTGAAAGATTGCTGTGAAAGCAGCTTAACTAACAAAGGATGCGGACTAACTAACAAATGATGCGGACTAACTAAAAAATGATGCGGACTAGCTTACAAATGATGCGGACTAACTAACAAAACTAACAAATAATGCGGACTAGCTTACAAATGATGCGGACTAACTAACAAATGATGCGGACTAACTAAAAAATGATGAGGACTAACTAAAAAATGATGCGGACTAGCTTACAAATGATGCGGACTAGCTAACAAATGATGCGGACTAACTAACAAATGATGCGGACTAACTAACAAATGATGCGGACTAACTAACAAATGATGCGGACTAACTAACAAATGATGCGGACTAGCTAACAAATGATGCGGACTAACATAGGATGCGGACTAGCTAACAAATGATGCGGACTAACAAAGGATGCGGACTAACTAACAAAGGATGCGGACTAAATAACTAAGGATGCGGACTAACTAACAAAGGATGCGGAGATAAGAATAGTTATTGCAACTAGGTTTTAAAGTAACCAATACAATTTACTGATATTTAAAAAAAGAGCGCAATGCGCTGCAGGTAAACGAAAGTTAATTTGGAATACTTGCACAATTTAAAGAAGACACATGTTGACGTCTGTACAATATTCCAAGGCTTTGTGAAGGTTAACAATGTCAATGTGACACCAAAACATTGTCACACTACGAGAGTTATACCACAATCGCATATAGTTACCAATCTGCTACATATCGACGATAATTAACGTAACAAAATTAGAGCTGAATAGTTACTCATAAATATTCAGTGGTAATTACAATTTGCCTAAAGCAGCACTTCGAACAAAAGGTAAGGTTAAATCACGTGGAAATATTCAAATTTTTTCATACGCATGTGCATTGATTTATCTTACAATGATTGTAACAATGTCCTTTAAAATTTACAACTTTAATTTCAAACACATGAATAGGAAATCAAACATGTTGATGCTTGAATTTTAATCAGATAAATTTCTACCCGTCTGAATCCTTCAATTTAAACTGCTTTGCAAGTTATGTTCAGAATGAACAAGAAATTCACGCAGCACGAAGAGCGTTTGTTTGACCACCCACTGTATATATACTACGCCAATTATTCAAAAGGCTCTGGTAATCACAAAACAAATTCTACCCTACACACCTCTACAATAAAACTGCGCGAATGAGCGAAAAAATAAAATGAGCGAAAGAGGGCGTCAAAACTCAGACAACACAATTCACGCTCGTGTTTGCGATTTTTGCTGTAGAGAAAACAACGCAGAGTTACTGGACTCGCTAATAGACTCCCCTTCATTGCCCGGCTCAAATTCAGGGATGACACAGTAGGTCCCTTCGCTTTTTAATGCATTTGTTTAGCGGAGGCCGGTTCCTTATCTCACCTGCCAATAATAAGGCGACCGTATCAAAGAAAAACACTCACACATTTTTTTTTTCTTTCCAACGACCCTCCTTGTTTCTTATTTCTACGACAGCCCGAGGGAAGTACAGTTTTGTGTCGGGTCTTAATCGATTGTTTTGACCCCACACCACCAGAGTCGCTCGCCGAACTTCACGCTAGCCAACTTGCAGAGCCACCCACTTCAGACGCGTGGAAATTAGCGCCAAAAAATTACACTATATGATAAGCAACGTCTAAAAATGCTCTATAATTTTTTAAATAGATCAGTTAAAATTCTATTCAAGTTACCTCTTGCTGTTGAGGTTGTTTGCTGCTTTGTTCCGCGTCGTGACGCGCGAGTTGCGCGACGACGAGACGCGATGCTAGGGGCAGGATTTTACATTACAATTCTAAAAATAAATCAATTAAAATTCTACTTAAATGGCCTCTTGCTTTTGTGGTTGTTTGCTGCTTCTTTCAGCGTCGTCACGCGCTAGTTTAGCGACGACGAGACGCGACGCCAGGGGCAGGATTTTACATTATAATTCGTAAAATAAATTAGACAAATCAATTAAAATTCTTTTCAAGTGACCTCTTGCTGTTGTGGTTGTTTGCTGCTTCTTTCAGCGTCGTCACGCGCTAGTTTAGCGACGACGAGACGCGACGCTAGGGGCAGGAGCTTGAAGGCCTCGTCAGACAGCGCGAGGGCTCGTACCAGCACCAGCGCGTCGCTGGGGCACAGCGCCCCCCAGTGCCGCCCCACGCTGCCCTCGTATCTGTAGCAATTATTATTTAAATTAAATGTCATCACAATAATATGAACAAGTTTATTTTTCTAGTTCGTTTTTCTATGTCAGCAAGTGACTATTATTTAAATTAAATGTCATCAGAGTAATATCAACCAGTTCGTTTTTCTATGTCAAAGAGCGAGAGAGTCTAAACATACATGGATCCAAAAAAAAGCAGGAATTATTATTTAAATTAAATCTCATCAGAATAATATGAACAAGTTCGTTTTTCTGTGTCCGAGAACGAGAGGGTCAAAACCTACATTGATCCAACAAAATGTATTTATCAAATGAAATAGGGATATTCCGATAGGAGAAATAAAATTCTAATATAGGAAATGGTTCATTCAATATCCAAAATTAAAAAGTTTCACATTCGAAATAAGTATGAGTCAGATGTACGAGTATACACATCCGCAATAAATACGAGTGTAAACATATGAGTTATACGGTAGGAAAAACTTATCTAAATTTTAGGCTTAAGTTTTCAGTATTGAGTGCAAATTAGATATGGAGGGAACGCACGCTTGTTTGCACTGCTGTACGCTCATAGGCGCCTTTGTCTGCCTAGCCGTAGAGAAGAAGCGCTCGATGCAGTAGGCGCAGTAGAGGCTACTACAGGACACCGGTGCAGTCGTAGCAGGAACACGTAGCAGTAGAGCTGCAAGGGGCCTGATGTTGCTGTCGGTCACCACCGCGCCTGACAACAACAACGTTACATGCTGCGTTTCAATTTCAATCTATCCTTTAATATTAATATTATTTCATTAGCAGAATTATTGAATAACGATGTGTTTATTCAGATATTTTCATAAGTAGAATTGAACAAGAATGTGTTGAATCGCTTTATTTAACTGTAGACATACAAACAATGAACTTAGCGTTTATTTGTTTAGAAGTCAGTCTTTTTTATTTCAGTTCTGATCAATTCAGCACAAAACGATTCATCATTAATAAGATTTTAATTAGACTAGATGAATTTGTATTCCACCTTTTAGCAAACACAGACACTTATTCGCAGCCCATCAAAAACTCGCATTTATCAAAAAAAATCGCAGCATTAGCCACAATCCACGACACGCATAATAAAGACATAATAGTCGGGTAACGTTACCCGACTAATTCCTATCCGAAAATTCTACCCAACGAGACGTCCTAATCGAAAGAACCATTTGTTCAGTTCAGTAGTATTTGTAACTATTATTAAGAGAAAAATACATTCAAAACAAATCAGGAAAATTAAATATGAGCTCAGAAAACTTCGAAATACCAAAAGATAAAAAACAGATTCAAATAAACAAATAATTATTATACGGTATGACGATCAAAACAACTTATCTAGCCTCTCACCGAGATGCTGCATGGCGTCTGCTCGCTTGCCCAGCAAATAGTGATAGTTGAGTGCGGGTGCCAGCTGCTGCAGCTCATTAAGAACACTAATGTGCTGTTCAGCAGCAGCAGCAGCGACAGTGTCTTGGGAGTTAACAGCAACATCGTTAATCAGTGAATAAAATAAAATTAATCTCTCATGATCAGTACCGTCGATGAGCGCAAGGATTTTCTCTTGCATGGTCTCCACGAAAGATTTTGGATTAGATTTGAGTTCAAGCATGGCGTTTCTTCTTCGAATATTATCTTTAATTTGGTCCGTCGAGAGATCCGAACTGAACATATACTGGAGATGTGTCATATGTACTTCCCACAGCGACACTTGATATTTTTTTGCCAACACGAAGGCTAAATCCAGCATTTCTTCATCTGAGGTCAGGCAGAGTCCTAGCACAGTGTCCTCTTTGTAGCGAGCGTCGCTCAGAAAACGTACGGTGTCAACCCCAGCGTCCAGCCGATGCAACGCTTCGCCTTGAACGTAATCGTCGAGAAGTTCTTCAGAAGCTCGGAAATATTCATACAACAATATCAGATCTGCATCAAGTTTGTCGTTGCCTGTCAGAAACTTGACGCCGTCCACTTCAAGTTGCGTGCAGCCCATTTTTGGTTCTTCACGTCTCGAGGCTTCCTGGGCATTCGAGGACTTGGAATCTGAGGGCTGGGCATCCGAGGGCTTGGCATCCGAGGGCTGGGCATCCGAGGGCTTGGCATCCGAGGGCTTGGTATCCGAGGGCTTGGCATCTGAGGGCTTGGCATCCGAGGGCTTAGCATCTGAGGGCTTAGCATTTGAGGTCTGGGCATCCGAAGTCTCGGCATCTGAGGTCTTGACATCCGAGGTCTTAGGACCTGAGAGCTTGGCACCCGAGAGCTTGGCATCTGAGGGCTTGGCATCTGAGGACAGATGACACTGCTGGTGCTTGAGGGTGACGAAGGCGGCGCAGGCGATGACCACGGCGGGGTCGTGGAGGTACAGAGGGGCGAGGCGAGGCTGAGACCAGGGGTGCAGGAGGCTGTAGATCTGCAGCGCGTAGTAATACTGCCGCACCTGTCAACCAAGTAATGGTTATCAAGTAGTAATACTGCCGCACCTGTCAACCAAGTAATAATAATCAAGTAAAAGTAATACTGCCGCACCTACCGACCAAGTAATAGTGATCAAGTAGTAGTAATACTGCCGTACCTACCGAACAAGTAATAGTGATCAAGTAGTAGTAATACTGCCGTACCNCATAATGAATAATAATTAACCGCCATTATGAATGCCAATTTGAATTAGACAGTTCTTAACATCGCGATAAATTTATTACTTAAGAATAATTCCATTTATTTAAACTATTTGCAGGATTGTCATCAACTGTTCATGTGCATTCTCAATCTCTGCCACCATTAAATGTGGCCAGCTCTTCAGTTATTTTTATGGAAGAAAATAAATAAGCGCAGATAGCATTCCTTCTTTTACATGATAAATACAATCAAATCAAGCTGTAACATGAACCAAGCTATTAATTTCTATCAATGCATAATTAGGATATTAAAATTAGTAACGAGATTCTTTCATCACACCTTTCTCGACCGCCTCTTCTTTGGCGTCTAGCACCTCAGGGGTCTTTTGGCCAGAGTCAGCAGCAGCATCATCAGCAGCAACAGCGTCAGAAGCACCAACAGCAGCAGCGTCAGCAGCACCAACAGCAGCAGCATCAGCAGCAGCGATGGTTCGCTCCAGCATGAAGGCCTTCAGCAGCGCCATGGAGAAGCGCAGGCTGGGGCTGCTGAAGGTGGTGTTGCTGTAGCCCCAGTAGTTGTAACCTGGCAAACATTACAGCTTCAACAAACCAACTTCAGTTTAATGTATAATTTATGAATAAATTATAGATTAAACCAAAAACTCATCATTTTAGCTTAATGCGTTGGAAAAAAGCAGGTAAAATATAAGGTAGGGAAGTTAAGCATCCGCATTTAATGATGGAGCAGTTGTTTGTTGCTGTCATGCGCCCGAATCGAGAGTTGGAAACGTTGTGTGGTCACCGAGATAGGAACTCGTATGAGCGTCTGATTAGTCCAAAAAGTTTGTTGGATGTATTAGCTTGCGTTTCAAAATGCTTGGAAAATTTCAGCTCCTTGTTGACGTAAACTCCGAGATTTTTCTCCACACTAGACTTTTCAATCATTATTCTCTCGTTGCAACCATACATCGTCATTTGCGGACGATACAAGAGTGCTGATGAAGATAACAGATGTTCTATGTCTGCGAGAGATTACAAGATGACTTGTCGATATTCTACGATTGGGCCCTAGCGAACAATATGCAGTTCAACGGCACCAAGTTCGAAGTAATGAGATACAGAGAGAAGTTCACCCTTGCAACATTCAAGAGACGACTGGACAAGTGGTTGAGAAAGATCCCGGACTGTCCAGTAATGGGAAACTACCATCAGCAAGTGACAAGCAACAGCATCTTGCATCAGCTGGCCCAAAGGAGGGCAAATAGACGGAACACGTCCAACGTTATATCCGGACCCGAGGGCGGGGTGACCTGCCTAGCGACGACTCGGAGACGGAGGACGACGAAGGCGGCGCATCAGCGTGACCGGGGACTAGGAAGTTACAAACTCATCATAAGGTCACAGAAGTCTGCGTGCAACTCACCGATGTTGCTGCAGTGCGCCTGTGGGTTACAGTCAAGGTAGAAGGCATGGCAGCCTTGCCTCTGGAAGTCCGCGTTGTTGTCTCTGTCTTCGTCATCGCTTTGGTCGAGTGCGCGATCACGGAGCGGCACCACGAAACTGAAAATAAAATCAAATTACAAAAAATCAAATCAAATTACAAAAAATCAAATCAAAATTTCAAAATCAAATTACACAATCACGCTAGTCCAGAGTAAAATAGTTATCTGCATGCGTGCAAAAAATTAACAAAATCTTCTATCACGTTACAATATTGCAGATCTTCCCATGTTGTTATACAGTACAAAATTTTGTTTCCAAATACTCCAGCAACTCAAACGTATTTTTAAACTGGCGTCAGTGAACCCAATGACAAAAAATTACGAATCATGCCAATCATTTTTGCAAGTTGATCATGAGGATCTTTCCTTCGTCATATGATTGTAAAGCTGATTACCCAAGATCTAATGCGAAATAAAGCGTTAAAACATAATAACTTGCGAAAGTAAATTATTTTCACGTTGATGTTTACAGTTTTATCGTCGGCAAGAACCAAGCTATTAATGCAGAATTGGGACATTGAAATTAGTAACAAGATTCTTTCATCACACCTTTCTCGACAGCCTCTTCTTTGGCGTCCAGCACCTCAGGGGTCTTTTGATATTATGTTGTCGCACATAATATCATAATGTTGTAGATATATTAATTAACGTTAATATACCATGCATATACCAGAAGGCTGCAGCTCAAGTTTAGACACCGTATTCCAGACATTACCCTAGTAGCCGAGGACACGTAATATCACAATGCAGGAAAATAAAGTCAAGTATGTTGAATAATGTTAATATTTCAATTAAATACCTAAATGCAGGAGCACAAGACACGATATATCCATCTGATGGCCGAGGACGCGCGTAATATTGAAGGAAAATAAAGACATGCATCATGACTAATGTTAATATTTCAATTAAATACCTAAATCCTGAATCACAAGACACGATACACTCACCTGATGGCGGAGGACACAATGCAGAAATATAAAGTTAGAGTCAATTATGTTGACTAAAGACACTATTTCAATTAACTACCATAATTTAGGAGCACAAGACACGATATACCTGATGGCGGAGGTCCAGAAGGAGGCCCTGCTGACGGTGGCAAGGAGCGACGAGGCTGTGGCAGAGACGGCGTGTGTGGCGTCCAGTGTGGCGTGTAGCAGTGCCCCACCGCCTCCTGGTGTGGCCACTGGTGCCTCGTCTACTTCAGATGATGACTGGAATATATTTTATTCTCTAATGTTCGAATGCGGAATCGATTTGTGTATTTTAATTTTTAAGTTTATATGTATTTTAATGTTTGTTTACTAGCAGTCATTTATGTATTTTTATTTGGTTCTTTTATAGGAAAGCCTCATATCGGAGAGTTACACTCAAAATGGAAAGTTAGACTCGAGTGGAAATTTAGCCTCAAATCGGAGAGTTAGATTCATTTGGAGATCAAGCTTCAAGAGCTAAGCACCACGATGAAAGCCATGAAGTGAACTTGCTAGTGTCATTCCTTATTATTTATTTGTTTATTTGAAAAATTGGTGTAATAAAGTCTTTTAATTATCGTGCATTAATGAACCTATACGATCATGAAGGTTAGTTGGTGGTTCAGAGAACCTCAACAATGTGACCACGGATGGCTCGTCTACTTCGCACGATGACTGAAATATATCAGGAAGTGGTTATAAATAATATTAAACTCAGTAATTACGGGGTTTTCTAGAAACGCGATCAACACGTTCTCGAATGGAAACGTAAAATATGAAATGAAGCAGTCGTAAAATGAATCGGCTGATAATTCATAAAGATATTATTTATACACTAAGAAAAATCACCGTTAAACGGTCTCACCGGTGTTCTAGTGGCCGGTCGGCACGTGAAAAGATACACCGTATGACCGTTTTTATTCAAATTTAACACTAGAAACCCATACAACATCTGAAAAAACTGATAAACGGTTTATTTTCAGGTGACGGCCGGCCAATGGGAGGCCGGTGAAACCGTTTTTTACCGTTTTTAGCGCATTTTTCCCGTTTATGGAAAAAATGCACTATTGTGCTCGCATGTCCGTCTGTCCGTCCGTAACATCACGTTTTCGTCGACGAGACAATACGCTCTCTGTCACTCACTGCAGTGAGTATCGAGTTATATTTTTTACCGTTTTTGGCGCATTTTCTCATTCATGGAGAAAATGCACTATTGAGCTCGCCATGTCCGTCCGTCTGTCCGTCTGTCTGTCTGTCCGTCCGTGACTTCACGTTTTCGTCGACGAGAAAACGCGCTCTATGTCACTCACTGCACTGGGTACTGAGTTATATTTTTTTGTAACAGCGTGTAATTAAAAACGCGCGCGCACCTCTCGGGCGTCCACGAAGACGTCCTCTGCTCCACCGAGCTCCTCTCGAGCCATCGTGCCTCTGACAACCTCGTACACGGCTGCCAGCTCCACTGAATGCCTGTACAATGAAAATTAAACTTTCAAAATAAAACTCACTCAAAATTAAACTTATTCAAAGTTAAACTCACTCAAAGTAAACTCGGTCAAAATTAAACTCGCTCAAAATTAAATTTGCTCAAAATTAAACTCGCTCAAAATTAAACTCGCTCAAAATTAAATTTGCTCAAAATTAAACTCGCGCAAAATTATACTCACTCAAATTAAACTCACTCAAATTAGACGCAGTCAAAATTAAACTCACTCATAACGTATAACAGTACATCCTGCCTCCAATGAATAAATTCATATTATACACCTGAAATCGTTCAACGGCAATAACTCTTTGATATAATTTAAGTCAATAAATAATCTTACAGTGCGGTGATTTATTCAAGTTAGAGGATAAAATTACTACACGTTAAGAAACGTAAGAAGTTTTTGACACATTCATAAACGGATTACAAGAACTAAACTAATCAGAGATTCAGGAGTTGGAACAGAACTTTCCGTACGAGGACAAAAAAGGCCGGAAAGAGTTCGTTGTACGTAATTTATTGATCTGTTGTGATAGATTAGTACTAATCTCATATAATTCAAGCGATAAATAGGAATTCCATGCAGCTAGTAACAGCGATTCAGGAGCTTTAAATGTAAGTATCAACGGCGCTTAAAGATCATTCAATTAAATCACCACACATTATTTAAGATCATTCAATGTAATCACTACAAGCTATTTAAGATCATTCAATGTAATCACTACAAGCTATTTAAGATCATTCAATGTAATCACCACAGGTTATTTAAGATCATTCAATGTAATCACTGTACTATTTCAGAGCATTGAGTGCAGATCGCAAGACACTACAAGCTATTTAAGAGCATACAATGCAACCACCACACGTTATTTAAGATCATTCAATGTAATCACTGTACTATTTAAGATCATTCAATATAATCACTCTGCTATTTAAGATCATTCAATGTAATGACTGTATCAAGATCATTCTATATATGTAATCACTGTACTATTAATTTTAATATCATTGAGTGCAGAAGGCAAGAGCACCTGAGGTTGAGTAGCTCCGGCAGGTGCTGTGCAGGACAGTGCGTGAGGGCGTAGTCAATAAGCTTGGTCTTGGCTGGGACGTCTGTGTAGGACGTGTCCTGAGCCAGCAGGGAACACACTTCCCAGGACTCTGGCTGTCCCAGCGCCATAAGCTTCTCACACAGGGCGCTGCACGTCTCAACTTCGCCCATCTGTAAGTATATTACCATATTAATTACAAGCTGCATCCAAAAATATGTAGATAATGAATAGAACATTGGAAAATCTAGATAAAATCCATTTCGCCCGTCTGCTGAACATACAAAATTAATCTCAAGCTGTATCATAAATATACGCGTAATCAAGAAAACATTGGAGAAGCTCAATAATCTCCGCGTCACCCGTCTGCTAAACATACAAAATTAATCTCAAATTGCATCATAAATATATGCGTAATCAAGAAAACATAGGAAGAGCTAAATAATATCCACATCACCCGTCTGCTAAACACAAGATTAATCTCAAGCTGCATCAAAAATAGGTACATCCTTATTATCCTTCGTATGTGTTTCGGACGTAGCAGTCCCAGGCCAAAGTGCCGACATCGTCACGAACTCATCCGAAAAGTTAAATAAAATACATCAGAAGATTGAAGGAATTTGACCGTTCACGCAACAATCACATCTATCTTGTAGTGTACATCTGGAAGTGCATTATGGTGCTTCTGCAACGAATAAATTATAAGTATACAACATTCCATGAATTCCATATAAGATCAGGGTATATTGAATTTTTCTAGCTACGAGCTGACACAGATGAAATAATAACACACTGATTGAAAGATTCAAGTTAAGCTAGTGAAGTAATATAGTATTTGTTACATATATTTGTAAGATAGGATTTCACCCAACACAGTCTTACTAGAAATCAATAATTATTGATACTTATATTCACTGATGATTGCAATAAAAAATCCAATTCGGTAGCAATGCTGTGTCATATATTCAAACATCGTCCCGGATAAATAATTTGATCACAAAACACGTTTTAAATACAGTATAACGGCGATGCAAGAACACTAAATTTTCGTATAATTTATGGATGGACTACAGAACAATTTATGTTCACATGATGTTGCCACACTCCGAAAACATCACTCCTCACGAACAAACAATAAAAATATCACCTTTTCACGAAGGCAAATTATACTCAGATATAATGACCGAAGATGTTCTCTAGTAAGAAAATTTCTGATGACGAATCATCGGCCTTCACGAGGCCATAAAAAGAACTAAATTCAACGGAATTGTGAAAGCCAAAAAATATTTAGTTCTTAATGACCCAGAGTCATGGAAATCTAACGACCCATAATCCGACTGATAATGATGCATGGAATATGAAGAGAGGATCACATGAGCATAGGTTCAGAAAAACTTAAACATGTAAGTTATACATTCATTGGCCAGATGAAGAGACGAAGAGGTCACAGCTAAGTTGTCGACCTGCTGACATTTTACGTCAGCCAGAAATGTGAAAATAGAAACGAGAAATAGGTGCGCCCGAAACGAACTCGAGAGAATTATCATGTTATATACCCGTGGCGCGTATTTGCAAAAATATCGTAATTGCAAATGAAACGATTGAATGAACCTATAAAAACGCCAAAACTACTAATATTCTTCCAAAAACAATTAAAAACAATTTTGATACCCACAAACGCAGATTACACACAAAATCCAAGATGTTTTAACTGAAGTTTTTAAAATTAACTACTTGAGTATCGCTTAAAATTTCGTGATTGAAATTGTCTTTGAGTTCCAGAATTGAAACTAGAAAACTTCAGAAAAATTGACGAGTCATACTGTCGAAATAGTGGCCCACTTCATCCACGTAGCACTGATACGCTAGTTATCCGAACCGAACTAAGCCAGAATGACACATACAATTAAAATTAAGTGGAAAAAATGCATCGTTGTTTAGACAGTCTAACTAATTTCTTTGGGTGCCTATTGCATCAACCTGAGGGTTGCTGGCTGGCTCGACTCGTCAACAGCATGTCGTTCCCGTTAATTAAACACAACTTGATTGTTACGTTCCCAAGCACTACACGTTCTTGTAGGATATCCATAGCATTTTTTTCAGTACGAGCATGTCTAGGTATAATAAAACTCGAAATAAGGCACAACATTTTCAAGTTAATATATAAAAACTAACTGCAACTCGTGTCAAAAATATCGAGTCATCAACTTAATACAGGGAATATAATGCAATAGAAATCTGTTTCAATACAAAAAAAAAACCGTTAAACGTCAATCAGCGAACACCAGAGCTTTAGCGATGTCACCATCGCTGACTTTTTTTATTATTTTATTCCTCTTTACATTACTCTGAACCCGTGCGATCTTTCATAAACGGACCTCTTTTCACAAATGTTTCAAACTTTTCCTTCCAAGACAATGGCGACAAGCCAAGAGTTCAGTGAAGTAGTCGGCATGTGCTCGAGCATATTTCTGGCCCTAATCTACACCTGTTTTAGGAACAAGTGACTTGCCTGCTTGCCATGTGCAGTGAAGGCGCCGTGTTATGAGTTTCTGTTTACGGTGGCCAGCTTTTGTTCAGGGTCTATACTTTCAAAAAAAGTTAAGAGATCGTAAGTTCATCAGCCAATCATTGACGGCCTTTCAAGCAAAATCCACCAATCATAGACAAGAAAACAGAGCGTAAGTACTTACGTTAACGTAGCGAGTTTTGAAAGCATGGCCCCACTGCTTTCCAACTCATGCGAGCGAAGCTTATGACGCGAGCGACTTAAGGCACTAAAATTCAGATCAAATGAACCATCACCGCCAAAACTTTTCAATTTCTTGTGAAATTAAAGATTTAAAATATTTACATGAAACTGATGTGCCACATATCAAGGTAGACAAAATAAGTCAAGAATGAAATAATGCTGAATACATTTTGCTTAGCTCGTAATCAAATGCAAGGCCTTTATATTATAAAGTAGAACAGAATATTGTGGCGATATATTTCGTGAACAAATTTTACCAAGACCTGTAGGAATTTTCCATGAAAAGTAGTTAGCTAACTGCTAATCAGTTTTTGAATATGTACAATCTGCTCTCCTCCATATATTGAAACGTGCGATTTCAACTTTATTATAGCATAATATCTGCATTTTATTTGCATGAAACAACATCGACTGTAATTTTTACAATCGACTAATGAATAATGAATTCATTGTGAACCGTTTCTTTTTCCAATTTTCAGGAAAAAATATCACGAAAATATTTTTTTCCATACGAAATATTTTTTTCCAATATCACGGGACTAAGATATATTTTTCTTTTTTTTTTAATATCACGGGACTAATAACGTAGAGCTCGTCGAGAACAGAAGAGCACCTAACTGCCAGGTCACATGCCCTTTTCTCACGCCTGTCAACGACTCAACGGTTCGGGGCATCAGCAGAGGTGAGGGCACTTCTTTTGCTCTCACCATGTGAGACCCAAATGTCACTCACGTCATGTCGAGTGACGGCCACGACGCACGCCACCAAGAAAGTGCCGCGTTACTGGTCGGTTAAGCATGAAGTTATGCACGCTTTTTCATGTCAGTCATGTAAAAGTTGAGAGTTCCGTGAGAAGTACAAAGTGAGAAAAAAATATCATCTACCTTGAAAAACTCGTGAAAAAAACGCACTTGAATCTAGCCATGCAGTGTAATTTCATTATTAGAATTAGACGTTAATTCATAACCAAATTTGTAAGATGATAACAAGAGATTGTCAATAAAAATTTACCGATAGTAATCGTTTGTAGGCCAAGATAATCACGCTAAATTTTACAGTCAATACCGCCAAACGGATGGGTTTATTGCCTCGAAACATACAATTAAGATCGTTTCAGACTGATAAAAACATAGGATCATTCAAATGAAACAATCCTGAAAGTGGACTAAAGAAACTTCCAATTTACATCATTCCTACATGAAAATTATTCTCTGCAAGAATATCAGGTTATTTAGATTAATAGTTAATAACAGTGCAGCACGAATAATTAAATTAAAAAAGTCCACGCTGGGTAACTTAGAAAAGTCAAAAACTGCAGCAATTTCGATAAACTTCGCCTTTACTCCGAACGAATTTTACACAGAAAAGTCCTTGAGACTGCCAATTTGACGGACAGTTTTAACGCTCGCAGAAGTCACGAAATCTATCAGCTCCCTCAACGAAAATCATCGAGGGCAGTTGGGTTCCAAGCCATGTTTATGCAAAGCGCCTATCTGCGCGAGCCATGATCCATCCCCGAGTGCTGCAAGGTCAATGTTTAGGGAAGAAGATGCCAAATGATAATACAAAGCGATAATGCCAAGCGAGAGGTCTGATGAAATCCGAATCACAGTGACTGAACTGCGGGCGCATCGTTGCAAACCATGAAACAGCGACTGCATTGCAAGCGTTTCATTGTAGACCATTAAGCAGTGATTGCACTGCATGCGTTTCATTATAAACCATGAAGCAGCGACTGCACTGCAGGCGTTTCACTATAAACCATGAAGCAGTGACTGCACTGCGGGCGCATCGTTGCAAACCATGAAACAGCGACTGCATTGCAAGCGTTTCACTGTAAACCATGAAGCAGCGACTGCACTGCATGCGTTTCACTGTAAACCATGAAGCAGCGACTGCATTGCAGGCGTTTCATTGTAAACCATGAAGCAGTGATTGCACTGCAGGCGTTTCACTATAAACCATGAAGCAGTGACTGCACTGCAGGCGTTTCATTGCAAACCATGAAGCAGCGACTGCACTGCAGGCGTTTCATTGCAAACCATGAAGCAGCGACTGCATTGCAGGCGTTTCATTGTAAACCATGAAGCAGCGGCTGCACTGCAGGCGTTTCATTGTAAACCATGAAGCAGCGATTGCACTGCAGGCGTTTCACTGCAAACCATGAAGCAGCGACTGCTGTGGAAGCGTTTCACTGCAAACCATGAAGCAGTGACTGCACTACAAGCGTTTCACTGTAAACCATGATGCAGCGACTGCCTTACAAACGTTTCACTATAAACCATGAAGCAGCGATTGCACTGCGAGCGTTTCACTATAAACCATGAAGCAGCGACTGCACTACGAGCGTTTCACTATAAACCATGAAGCAGCGACTGCTCTGGGAGCGTTTCACTATAAACCATGAAGCAGCGACTGCAC